TTTTATTGGTGTTAGTGGACATTAAATATTTTTATAAAATAAATATTTTAAGTTTTATTTTTTTAATTTTATTAGTGTTAGTGGACATTAAATATTTTTATAAAATAAATATTTTAAGTGTTATTTTTTTAATTTTATTGGTGTTAGTGGACATTAAATATTTTTATAAAATAAATATTTTGAGTGTTATTTTTTTAATTTTATTGGTGTTAGTGGACATTAAATATTTTTATAACTTTTAAATTATTACCGTAATTCTACTAAATCGTATACGTTCGAGCGATATTACGCGACTTCTTTTACTCGGTGCCGGTCGAAGCAAGTTCGTACGTGTCCGCGAAATCGCGTGTGTGTTTTGAAAGTGTTGCAAGAAAAGAAGAAGGAATTTCAACCAATGTTGACATCGTTATATTGACGACGCAGCAAGGGAAGGACACAGTAAGGCTGATGGCAGGACGAAAGCAACAGGCGATCCAGAGCTGCTATGATACCACAAAGGGAGCAACGGTCGGTAAGTCGCATGTTTACGTTTCCTCTGGTTACCCATCGAGTCGTAGGACGAATAATCCGGAACGGCAGGGGTGACTAGTTGTATTTTATTATTTTCGTTGCAAACATATTAACCACGAGTGCTAATGTACTAACGTACAATAGCACTCGTGCAATATATATTCCTGTGATATATTTGTAGCATCAGACTAAGGCTATCTTGTACATCTCGTAATAAAATCTCGTTTGAAAAAATTTTTAAATTCTATTTTAAACTGGAATTAAAAAATTTTAGTTGTTCATTTCGTTCAATTCCATATTTATCTCACGCGATTTTTAACGAATACAAATATAAGCAAGCATCCCCTTAGTTTTCACAAACAAAGTAACAATTCCAATATTTTCAAATTATTAAAGGTGTAGCTTCGGTTTTGAAATTACTCATAATTTTCTTTCTTCTTCCACTTTTTATTAATGCATATTTCTTCTTCGACATAAATTTTTAATCAATTGAAAAGTAGAGTAACCGCAACTCTTTAAGTATCATTATCCCCGATTTTTACTTACGATTAAGATTTCGAACAAGAGGACACAAGCATGTTTTATATCATTTTTAATATCAATTTTATAACCATGTTCATCACATAATTCTATTATTCATGCAAATTGCAGGATTTTTTTATTTTTGCACATTTGTGCGGTATTACTGTGCATACTGTGCACACTGTGCACACTGTGCACATTGTGCTTGAGAAATCGTCAAAATCCCTCGAAATTCGAAATATTTAAATCGGGAATTAAAACTTTATCAACTTTTGATATAACATTAAAAAAAAACCAAAATCACGAAAAATATAGTGCCTTATGTGGCTGCTCTGTGCTTTTCCCCACTATTATTGCAACTTTTAAAGCACCGTAAGTGGCAACGCATTTTAATAAAATTGTCCCATTTAAAATAAATTGTTCCATTTTAATAAAATTATTTCTTCTTTCATTGTATAATAATCTTATGCAATTACCAATTTACCCAATTTTCATTTTCCTGTTATTATTAATTGCTCCTTCTCCGTTGCAGCTGTTAAGTATCCCACATTTTGAAATTTACTTTGTAATTCATTTTCTAATCCACTTCGTGTTTGATTTTGCAGTATATTTTATATTACGTTCTGTATTGCATTTTGTTATGCATCTTGGAATTCATTTTATAATTTATTTGGTGATTTATTTTGTGTGATATTTAGTATTATGTTTTGTGTTATATTTTGTATTATGTTTTTATAATGTATTTAGGCACGGGTCTCGATTGCGTAGCCACCTCCACGTGGTGAGACCTGATAATTGGCATCGTTTGTCAAAGATGTATTTTCATATTTTTCCAAATGAATTTTATCTCGTAGTTTTCCAAACATTCCATAAGTTCATCTTTGACAAACGATGCCAAGCTAAGAGCTACGCAATACTCGCAGTTCAATTTATCCTCTGAAAGGATACCTTTTGGTACCTTGGAGGTTAGATTGGAATCACGAGTACCACTTTATTTGCCCCCCCTCCCCCGCATGGGGTTTCGCGGGATATCGTGGATGCATGCGTATTAGGTTCAATTTGTTATATATTTGGCTCCTGGTTACCTTTCTTGCACTTGGCTTTCTGTGATATATTGTCTCATTTCGATGGAAAAGTTTTCATATTACTTATCAGTTGAAGTAAAAATTACAATAAACTGTTAAGTTTCAGAAAACAGGACGATTCGACGATCATAGTAAGAGGTTAGGGCGGACATCTCTTCAACGATTGACGAGGGCCTCTCGATTCTTGCTTCTTTCGATGTTAGTCACGATCATGGGATTATTAAACGTGGATACGATTTCTTTGGAGAGGGGAGACGTTTTGGATTTTGTGATTGCATAAGTTACAGATATCTAAAGAATAAATAGTTTAATCTCTATTATTTGTATCAGTCTGTTCTTTGCAGTGGTTAACTGAAGATATTTAGGTTAGGTTGCAAGCTTACTCGATGGAGGAATTGTTTATACGATAATAAATTAACGTAAAATATATTTTCACCTGATATAAGTCATTTATATGTAAGCACTAGTATGAAACACAGAAAAATAATTTTTGATAAGCTATAGTATGCAAGGGTTAAAGAAATTACTGATTTAAATAGTCAGTGCATCATGCAATTTTAGAAAAAAGAATAGGTGATATTGTATACCAAAAATTGCACAGTTCTTGTTTATCCAGAAGTGTTCTTTGCACTCTTAGGGTTATATTAACTTTGTGAAAACAGCTATCTCAAGAATCGATTTAAAACGTCAACAATGTATAGTTGGTTCGAACGATACAGTATCTTCGTAATATCAATCGAATCTAAAATTATATACAAGTGTCCCTAACCTCTGAAACAGTAGTCTGAAATATTTAAATAAAAATAGGGTGCTCGAGTGCGAATCAATGTCGTACAATATCGTTCTCTCGAATATTTGAGATTATTAAACGGAATTTAATAGTAATAAATTGTCAATAAGTGGTAGTGAACGAATTAAGTTAAAATTCCAAGTCGATTAATATTTCTTTTCACTTTACTGCCTGGTATTAAACATCTACAGCTACGGATTACAGTCGATCTAGATGTCAGCGACATCTGCGGCGTTACTTCGGCATTAAACATGGCCGCCGCTTACTAAGATAACCTACGAGCGTGCTGTATCGTTCGAACCAATTATTAAACGTGCAATTACGACTAGAACACACAGAGAAAATTCGAACAAAGTTATAGTAGTCAGCAATGTATTAATCATACGATAAAATGCAATATTTATTCAATTAAATAAACAATAAGACAACAATGAGAAGTTCCTTCGAATCTCATTCGAACTCCTACATTTTAGCCTCATTCACGTCGAGCCCTTTTCCACCCTTTCCATCGATCGATTACGGTGGTGAAAACGCGATCTCTCGCCCTCGAGGTTGCACATTGTATTCTACTTTTCACGGTGAAACGCGAGCATCCGTGCTGGATCGTGTACCGAAAGGACGACGTCGAAGAGACGCGTCGACGACGATCGTTCGTGATTACGTTCGTTCGAGATATTACAAATAGATTGGAAAAAGGGTATACGTGCGTGTGTGCGACGAACGACGGCTTGGAAATCAATGGGAACACGTGGGTTGAACGGAAGCGAGGGATGGGGGATGATATATTCATTTATATTCTTTTTCTCTCTCGTAATTGATTTTCTGCACATTTTATAGGTAAAATGGTTTTAAATGATATAGGAAAATTTTGGAAGTAGCACAACAAAGTATATATGAATAATACATATATCATTATGTATGTATATATATGTATTACTAAATATAAATAATATATATATTACTCATATAATACAAACAAGTATTCGAATATATATAATATTAATAGCCGTAAATTTTGAATTAAATTTCGAATAAATCCTGATGGTAAATTAAAAATTAAGAAATGTAAATAAATAATAAATAAAATTGTGTTATTTCTATTCTTGTCGCCCTTATTTTAGTCTACTTTCAAGTTCAAACGAAATGTACCAACGATTTAATAAGGGCGAAAGAAAATATTAAGGCGAGTACGTAAATATAAGCGGCCATATTGTGGGTTCACATAACCTCAATCTCCCTTCGCTTCCAAGCCACCCGATTATCCGACGATCGTAAATAGCGACATAGCGTAAGGCGTAAAATATCAATCGAAACGATGCGATCTTACAGCTGAACAGGAAAAATTCCAAAGACTCCTTTTGTGCTTCACAATTGTTACGAATGTGAAATTCAGACGAACGAAGACGAGTACGAGATATTGTGGTCCTGACGAAGCTGTACTCGTTCTTAGAATACGGCGAACCGTGCCGCCATCTAGAGCACGGTTCGCGAAGTGTGCGCAACGTTCTCATTTTGTTACGGTGTAAAGGCTCACACAATTTCATGGATAAACGTTTACATTGGGCGCAGTGGGTTTTACACTTAACGATATTACGCGGAGAATCACCGTACGACACTGCAATTTTTCTCTGCTTAAAAATCAACGAAAATTCCGTCTTTAAATACAATCAACCACAAAACAAGATACTTACAACGGAAATTATAAATATAATTGATACCAATCTTCTGTAACGTAATTCATAATAAACAACGATAACTTAACCTCCCTAACCTAGAAGAAAATAATAATAAATTCAAAACTTAAAGATAATCGATGAAAATGATCTCAAGTGAGATGTCAATCGATAACGCTCATAAATTAACGTATATAGTAACATATTAATCAACAATGTTTCAAAAGGAAACTCGAAAGATCACAAAATGAAATACTCGTAGTGTAACCATTGAGGTTATGTTGACAATTTTGCTGCGAAATTGCCATAATCGTACCGTGCATCTCGACTCATGCCCTCTCACCGGTTTCCCTCTGGAAAACGTCATAATTACACACGTTCTCTCTCTCTCTCTCACACTCTCTCTTTCATGCCCTCTCACCGGTTTCCCTCTGGAAAACGTCATAATTACACACGTTCTCTCTCTCTCTCACACTCTCTCTCTCTCTCTCTCTCTTCCATTCTTTCGATGACACTCACGATTAGCAATTAGCAGACGCGACGTAGTCACGCGTCTTCGTTGCTTCGATTTACGATTAATGTATAACATTTTTACTTAGATTGTTCTGAGCAATTGAGATCTAGTATTGGAGGGATTTCATATACCTGAAAATTGTTTAGTCACTTGCTTCGTTCTCGTTTCACCTCTTCAGCTCTTCCTCCCCCTCCTCGTCTTGCTCCTGTTCGTCAGTTTTCACCGTTTCACTTGCACCAATCGAACGCAAAGCATCATGGATCTCGCACCTCTGCCTCTCGATCTCTTCGTCCTCTCTTCGACGTTGATCATCTCGAGACCCCTCTTTCATCCCCCTCGCGTATCTACTCCTCTTCGCAAATGTTTCTTCGCCATTTTGTCGATTTCTTCGATCACTATTTCTTCATTTTTTTTTTAAATTTTTTCTTTCTTTTTAAATTAGAATACTCTCACTCTCTCGCCTTTCATACATTACGCGTCTCATCCATCCTCCGCACACCGCACGCACTCACACTTATCTGAGAGTAACAATTGACATGCGTTTCGTAACTTTCCTAGCGTCTAGACAATGTGTCCTTACCATTGTCTTAATTATTTTTTAGCTTTTTTTGTTTACTTTTTAATGTACTTCGTACGTTTCTTTATTTGTTGTGTGTGTATGTGTGCATGTGTGTGTGTGTATGTGTGCTTCTTTGGCATAAATTTTTCCGTTTTTTTCGACACCAGGCTACGTTAAAGGGAGCCACGGTGAATCCGTCAAGCGTCGCTGTGTTCTCTCGAGTTTTAAAAAGAAACAGGGGAAAAGGCGAGTTCACGTTTGTTGTTTTCCTTAATCTTCTTTTTCGTTTTGTCTCTTCCTCTTTTTTTCTTTTTTTCGTTTTTCGCAGTGATGTTAAAACGGATTTTTCGGTTGGAAACGATGACGCGATGTCGATGACGATGATAGACGCTGATAGACGGGATCGTTCGGTCGATCCTTGTTCGTGTTTCGTGTTTGAACGATGATTATTCGTCTTTCCTCTGCTATTCCGTTCGTTTTCACGCCTGGGAATTCACTCGACAGCCTCAGGTTCGCGATAGGCCGAATACTCGATACTCGGAATCGGTCGAAGCTAGTTCGAGGAGGTTCCACGTCGTTTGAACGCTCGTGAACTGTTATTGGTTATAGTCTTCGATGGTTCGGGGTATTACAAAACGCGTGGAACTAACCTTACTACCATCGAGAGATGTCAACGTGTTTCTCGAGGATATCGAGGGAAACGTGGGGAAGCAAATGACTCTTAATCGACGACATGGAATGCTTGTTGCAAAAATGTTATAAAAAGATCGATCCTATCTCGACGAGAAAAATAAATGGAACGCACATCAATGATATCATGACAGGTTTGACTATAGATAAAAAGCAGAGCACCAGTTATTGTGCCAGTATACATATATCACATTTATCATCACCGCAGAAGGGAGGTTTCAATTCCAGTTTCCACTAAGGTATTGTACATCAATTCCCATTCGATCCGAGTTCCAGTCGCTGTATTATATATAAATCGCCATTAACCTTCACCTGGTGTCGCGTTACATTGTGGATTACCAACGGAAATGTGACTAATGTAGCGAACCAATAACAGTTTTACACTCTACCACTTCCTATCTTCACTAAAAAGCTCGCCCATGCGTATTCCGGATAGCAGTGAACGCGTCAAACTGTCTCAAACGACGTCAAACGGTGTCAAATCGCATGAAATTACGTTAAACGGCGTCTGACTGTTTCGGAATATCGTCGAAACGGTATCAAACTGTATCAAACGACGTTTAAGATCACATCAAACGGCGTCAAACCGTGTAAAACGACGTAAGATTGCATCGGAACATCGTCAGAACGGTATCACGCTGCGTCACATGGTGTCAAACGACATAGAACGGCGTCAAACAGCGTCAAACCGTATCAAACGGTGTCAAATCGCACGAAATGACGTTAAATGGCGTCAGACTGTACCGCAACATCGTCGAAACGGTATCACACTGTATCAAACGACGTTTAAAATCACATCAAACGGCGTTAAACCGTGTAAAACGACGTTAAACCGTGTAAAACGACGTCAGATTGCATCGGAACATCGTCAGAACGGTATCACGCTGCGTCACATGGTGTCAAACGACATAGAACGGCGTCAAACAGCGTCAAACCGTATCAAACGGTGTCAAATCGCACGAAATGACGTTAAATGGCGTCAGACTGTACCGCAACATCGTCGAAACGGTATCACACTGTATCAAACGACGTTTAAAATCACAAACGGCGTCAAACCGTGTAAAACGACGTCAGATTGCATCGGAACATCGTCAGAACGGTATCACGCTGCGTCACATGGTGTCAAACGGCATAGAACGGCGTCAAACAGCGTCAAACCGTATCAAACGATGTGAAATCGCATGAAATGGCGTTGAAACGGTGTCAGACTGTATCGGAACATCGTCAAAACGATATCACACTGCGTCAAACGGCTGAAACCACCTGTTCTCGCATTCGACCGACCCGTTCCGTCTTTTCCTCGTTCAGAGAAGACCAGCTGCGGCGTAGGAGCCGCAAGTAGGCCCGTTCCTTTGCTCAGGCATAGGTCCATTCGTTAGATATCGTTCGATGGCTCGATGAATCGTCAATGGAGGGTGAGGGTGGCGCGCGCGCCCGTCGGCGGCGCCTCGACGCCCGATGGAATGACACTTAGGAACCTAACGAGAGAAACTGATTCGACGACGTTCTTATCTAAAACATGTTCGAACGAAGTGGCCGCTTGTTAACCGTGTAAAAACGTCGAATTGCCCCGCTTCCGATCGATCTAACGATCACCGGATCGTTGGAAGAAGAGAAACGGAGCAAGCATCGCGGGGATTGGTGGTCAGGGATTCGGGGTGGTTGGTCGAAGCGGGGCAATTATCGAGCAGGACGCGCTAATTAATCCTAATGCGATCGGAGACGTCACGGAGAGTTACGAGAATCCGCTCTCGACATTTTTCCTCATCTCTCCCTGCTGCTAATAATTCGCTAGTATTAGACTAGGTTTTATCATCTTCTCCCTCTCTTCTCATCCGTTCTTCCCATGCCTCGGTTCATCCTTCAAGTCGCTAGGCAGTCCGTTCCTTATCTGAAGTACTTCAGACCAGCAACCAGCAGGAACTTCTCGATGAAAAGGTCGGAATCGAGGACGGCGATGTGCGCGGCTCGGCCAATCAGCGTGTTCGCCGTGGCCGGCAACGCGTGGTGCACGTCGTACCTCACCAGGCTCACTCCGGACGTGGACATCACCGGGTACAGGATGTTGTGCACCATCTCGCGATACGCTGCGCCTGCGAAACAATTTTATTTTTGATCAGGCTCTTCTTTCTTTATTCATTTCTCTTTCATTTTTCACCTATGCATCGCCTGTTTTATTCAATAATTAGATGGGATAGGAAGAGTTGGGGTACATAGCGTAGCAAATAGTTTTGGTTTCAGTTGATTTCAGATATAGAAGCGATAGGTGGTGTATTTGGGAAAAAGAATTATGCCGGGATATTGCATGTGATAGTGATTGTAGAGAGCAAAGGATGTAAACAATACCGAGAAAAGAGAAAGGAAGACAAGAATGAAAGTGAGGTTAGGAAGAGGCAAGATGGCGGCCGGAGCGACATTTAGAGTGAATATAACTACTTACAGACAATTAGAAATTCAATTTATAATTAATTATCCGAATAATCATATAATATTATATTCATATACATATATATATTTTATATTCATCAACGATTATCAAATATTACGATAATCAATAATTTATAGAAAATATGAATACAGTAAATGACTATTCGCATTTCATCGCCAAGATAGCAAGTATTGATTAATTTCTCGAATAATAACGTCCAAAAATTCGCCAAAAATGAAAAATAACGAAAATAACATAACCCAAAATAAAAGGAAATCCCTCTCCATAAAACTACCCCAAAGAACGAATCAACAAAACGAATCTTCTCTGTACAAAGCCACGGTTCATATCGTATTTGGGAAATACCGTTTAAAACTTGGAATTTAATCCCGTTCCCGAAATAAACCCTAAATCACGTTTGGTTTCCCACGGGGATGATAAAACGCGGTGCAGTAAACTCGGAATACGTCTTCTCGGCTCGGAGCCAATAGGTTTCTTCTTTCACGTAAAGTGGATGGCTCTGAAGGAAAAAGACGAACGCGTTCTCGCCGTCTTTAGGGCTTTCCGATGGAGCCTCATTCTGCCGTGAATTCCGACTGGATTGGCCGTTCGACGGAGTCTTATTACCGGACATGAATGAAAAATAAATGGCGTCCGATTACCTTGATCGGTCGAATCCCGTACGGCGGCTTTGCACAGCTCTATACGCGCGGAATGGAGCGGCACGTATCGATCCTGCGCGCTGCCGCACAGGAGGACGTGTTTGAACTTCTCGAGATTGCTCTTCTGGCTGAGGCGGAACATGAACGACCGTCTGACGTCCGTCGAGTCTTTCATGGCCAGTTGCAGCAACGAACCGGATTTCTTCAGCTTCTGTATGAACCACATGCCTGAAATCGAATTCCGCCATTTTTATTCCAGGCTAATTCCGTGACCTTAGCAATTGGGGGTTGTTTATGGTTTCTTATTCATGGGGATGGAAGCTTTAAGCTATTGGAAAATCAGTTGCTAATTTAAAGATTGTTAAATTGTTTTTGGTGCGTTCGTGAGGTGAGTTTGAGAATAATTTTTGTGGAGGTTGTTTGGTATGGAGCTATACGGAATTTTTAATTTTTATGGACGAGGTAGGGGATGAAGATAAAATTGAATAAAAATTTTGTTAATATTAGAGGAACTTTTTTGAATGATCCTAATGTGATAAATTGTTAATTTCTGTTGATGGATTTGTGTGGTGAGTTTTGAAATAATTTTTGTGAAGGTTGTTTGGTATGAAGTTAGGTGGATTATTTAATTTTCATGGACGAAGTAGGGGATGAAAATAAAATTGAATAAAAATTTTGTTAATATTCGATGAATTTTTTGAATGATCCTAATGTGATAAATTGTTAATTTCTGTTGATGGATTTGTGTGGTGAGTTTTGAAATAATTTTTGTGATGGTTGTTTGGTATGTAGTTAGGTGGATTATTTAATTTTCATGGACGAAGTAGGGGATGAAGATAAAATTGAATAAAAATTTTGTTAATATTAGAGGAACTTTTTTGAATGATCCTAATGTGATAAATTGTTAATTTCTGTTGATGGATTTGTGTGGTGAGTTTTGAAATAATTTTTGTGAGGGATATTTGGTATGAAGTCAGACGGAATTTCTAATTCTCATGGACAAAATAGGGGATGAAGATAAAATTGAATAAAAATTTTGTTAATATTCGATGAATTTTTTGAATGATCCTAATGTGATAAATTGTTAATTTCTGTTGATGGATTTGTGTGGTGAGTTTTGAAATAATTTTTGTGAAGGTTGTTTGGTATAAAGTCAGACGGAATTTCTAATTTTCATGGACGAAGTAGGGGATGAAGATAAAATTGAATAAAAATTTTGTTAATATTCGATGAATTTTTTGAATGATCCTAATGTGATAAATTGTTAATTTCTGTTAATGGATTTGTGTGGTGAGTTTTGAAATAATTTTTGTGCGGGTTGTAGGGGATGAAGATAAAATTGAATAAAAATTTTGTTAATATTCGATGAATTTTTTGAATGATCGTAATGTGATAAATTGTTAATTTCTGTTGGTGGATTTTTGTAGTGAATTCTGAAATAATTTTTGTGAGGGATGTTTGGTATGTAGTTAGATGGATTATTTAATTTTCATGGATGAAGTAGGAAAACTGAATTAAAATTTTGTTAATATTCAATGAATTTTTTGATTAATCATAATGTGATAAACTGATAAATTATTTTTGGTGTATTCCTGTGGTGAGTTTCGGAATAATTATCGTGAGAGTTGAGTAAGGTTGTGAGGATGAAGTAGGGGACGAAGGTAAAATTAAATTACAATTATTTTAACATTCTTTGAAGTTTCTGGATTATAATAATTTGATAAATTGTTAAATTCCTTTTAGTAGGTATAATAAATTTAGAAATGATTCTCATAAGAAAATTGAAGTATTTAATTTTAATATAAAAATTTTGTTTCTTGAATATTTTTATGGTAATAATTCTTCAATTGATTCTCAAACTTTTCTAAAATAATAAAAATAGCATTGTCTTAAAAAACATCGATACTTTGAAAAATATATTTTCTTGGGGTCAAATAATTTCGATTAATTTTGCCAATCTTCAAATTAATTTTCACCCTCTAAATATGAACGATAGTAAATTAAAAAATATACGAATTAAATATTGTTTTATATGATATCTTCCATAAATTTCATTCACATTTGTCAGACAAAAATTCATTTGAAGAAATAGTGGACATATTCGGCTGGAAAAGAAAAGGTCGATGCGTTCTTACCTGCGTTAACTAATCCACTGGTGTTGTACAATGTACCCAAGTGGGGGCCGCTTAGGCTGAGGAAGGTGTGTAAACGTGGAAGAAGCGGTCGTAATTGAGGCCGCGTCAGAGCGTTCCTTATGATGATGGTCCCTAAAGAATGTCCGATAAAGCTCACTTTTGTCGGGTTCAGACGAGACGACTCGATGTGGTGAAGAATCTCGGCTACCAATCGATCAGTCATTGTGTCGAAATCCGAGAACGTGTCACCCTTTTCGCGAAACAAGAAAGCAGACGATGTAACACTCATTCTTACATCCAGAGACACTTACTTACTTAAAAAGCAACGCAAAGACAATTACTTAAATGTCATTTATTCCCTTTGATTTTTAATTCTAAAATCGTTAAATTATAAATTTGATCATAAAAATAAAAAATCCTCGTAAATATTTTGAATTAAATAATATTAATTTAAAAATTAATTTACTTTAAATAGATTATATTGTTCGTTATTGTTTTTAATTTTCTCTTTTAATTCCTAATTTGTATGGATAAAAATAATAGGAATAAAAAATATCCACTTTGGTCTGAGAATTAGGATTCGATGATAGTTATAAATATATATAGTGATATATTGATAAGTATTTATTAAGGGATTTAAAAAATACTGCTATGTATATAACTTCGATGTTTCGCGTAGGGTTATAGGGGGTTAACTCGGTATCCCATAATCTTTCTATTTTCCCTTGATCCTATCTAAATTGATACTATCTACATACCCTAAGATCTTTATCGACTTCGAAGTAAAATCTTATTCGTTCTATTAAGACATTTCACGAAAATACCAAAGCTCTAAAAATAAATACGTTGCAAAAATATTCGTTTAACTTTTCACCTAAATACCTTTTCATCTATTTATCGACCATCATTGAAAAATTATTGCTATCAGAATAGCCCAGGTCGCAAAAAAAAGTTAATAATAATAATACCGATTCGAATCAATAAAAATAAATATATATCTCACAAAAATTGCTCGAAAAAATATCTTATCACCTATTTACTTTGCACATCTACCATAATTAAAAAATTAATGCCAGCACGATAAACCAGATGGTCGGAAAAAGATATACTAATATTAATAATAATAATAAATAAATAAATTACATAAAAATATTGGTGCAAAAAGAACGGAAATATATTCGTATTAATAATGATAATAAATAAATAAATTACAGAGAAATATCGATGCAAAAGGGATAAAGAAACCCGAGTGAAGGATACGTTTATCCCGCTGAAAGCCTTACCCGATTCCTCTCGGACATTAAAAAATTTAGATGCGCCCCGGGAAGACTCATTTCCAAGTACGTCTTGACCAAACGAAGATCAGCAGGGTTGCCATCGAGACCGTGGACGCAGATGATGAGATGAGGCCGTTTCAGCGAGAACAGCCGGTACTCGTTGCTGATGTGGAAGTACGGCATGGTCGAGGCCAGGGTCGGATAGTCACTAAGAGGCACATTCGATCTTAGAGGTTTTACCGACGACGGGGTCAGGAAGTCACCGAATCCAAGGGAATGGGCACGTTTATGGAAACGCAACTGCGCTTCCTTGCGTTCTCTAGAGGGGTAAGGTAGACAAAGAGAAACTTAACTACGAAAAAACACAAAGGTACTGCCGAAAGCCGTCGCAGAACTCAAAAGCCGGGTCTAACCAGCGCGGATGCTTGCAAACCAAAATGGGAGACAGGGGTAAAAGGATTCTTGCTTGGTCGAACACGCGAGTCAATCGTACACCATATACGTAATACACAATGCACAGTGTGCTTGTTTCATTTGGAATGCGTGGGAATTGCAAAATTTGGGTACTGGGTGCTTAAAATTTAAACTATGGGATTCGTGGGACACCGTTGTACCAGGTTCTGGTTAGTAACACCATAAGAAACATTCCAAACAAAACCAATATATAGAATGCTCACACTATAACTAACCAATGACTTTCTTACAACTAGTAATTATTAGAAGAAAATTTGTTAGAAATGAAACTGTTTTTCCTTCTAACGAGACAATCATCAGATAGTAACAGTGTCAACTCTGTATATATGTTAAGTACATTATGTATTTATATATAAGTGTACATAAATATAAAGATAAATCTCGCGAAGAAACGAAAGAGGAGCAGAACAGAGGAACTGTGTGAGGCTGAAAGGGGTCTCACGGTCAAAAACCTAATATCTTGGTGACAGTGCAAGCTAGTTAGTAATTACTATGAATATAAGACACTTGGACATCAAGGTATACGCTACTAATCATCAGCAAAATGATCTACAATACTCGTGAAGCATCATGAGACTATTCTATAGAACACCCAACTCTAAGATTCCAAAAATGACTTCATCGCATCCATCTCCTTGGAACATTAGACTTAAACAGACTAAACAATAGAAATAGCTTCATCCAAGTGGAAGCCTGTCAACCAGGATCACTCCAAATCTCGCAGCATCAAGAACGCACCTGTAGATCTTCCCTGAGAAGCTCATCTGCCTCTTGAAATCTTCCTTGCACTTCTTAAAATTAATTGCATCGTCCTGTGTCGTTTGTAGTATCTCCTTGCCCTCCTGGTAGCAGTCCAAGCAAATGTCCCTAGCCCCGTAAGGCAGGTCCCTCTCCCTTTCTCTCTCCCTGTCCCTATTCTTCTGAGGGCTACAAGGCGCAGTCTTTGTCTGCTTAGGGCTTCTAACCGGCTTTACCGTCTCATAGACGTGGTACAAAGGATTATCGATAATAGCTGGAGGATCACGGAACTCCTCCGGAGGCGGAGGCTCGTCCTGGAACATCTTAGGAGGCGGGAGTCGCACTTCCTCGTAAGAGTGCTCCTCTACAGTCTCCTTAGTCGGGGCTGGCCTCTCCTTTCTAGGCACGATCTTCGACAGTTTCTGACGTAGCTGCTCGCTAGAGAGCTTCGCGTTGCGACGCTGTTCCGAGCTAGACGTGTCCCCGCTGCTCACCCACCCGGAGCACTCTGACGTGAGGTTAGAGGAGCTGGAGCTAGTGGTCGGGCTGCTCGGCCTGCTGGACGGCGGGCTGAGCGGGTTCGGAATGACGGGAAGATTGTTGCTAAGGCTGTCCTTGCTGTCCCGGATCGACATGCACAGCAAGGACACCGCGCTGCGTGGCACCACCACCTTGTTCTGCGCCACTGGCACGCTGGCGCATCTCAGTCTTTTCACGCTCGGCGCCGGGGCTACGGCGTTCGAGACGTTCGAAGGGGAAGTCCCGTTCGTTACGGATGTCTCCATGGGAGATTTCATGGGCTCCACCTGCCATGACAGAAACATTAGTTAGACTATGCGATTCTTAAATAGTTTCTGTTACTGTTGCGGCCCGAGGACCGCAATGTCCCAGGTCAAGTGGAGGACTGTTCTTTGTCCTTATTGTCAGCGTCCCTTGACTGCTATACATGGTCACCTAAGTCACCACTTAGGTAACCGTAACAAGGATCGATATATCACTCTTCGAGACGATAAGTACAAGGACCTAGATTGTTTAAACAACCACCATCATCAAAAGACGCTGAAGCTAGCACACACCTCCAATATTATACCAACCAATCAGCAGACAGACGAACTTTATGAAACCAGCGACAAGGCATTCACGAAAGGATTCTTCCTAAAAACTCCATCACGACCACACCACGCAGGAGACTGTCTACTACTAGAACTTTCTGCAGTTCAAACATAACCAGGCCTACCTCTATCGAGTTAGAGTAGGCCGCATCCCAGCAACATTGCTGCAGCAGCGTAACGGGCCTTACAACCCCGCGAAACTCCCCAAGAGAGTTGCAGTGTTCGGGCCGCAACAGTTACAGTGTCTACAGGTTCTTCCCAATAAGACCCATTGGGCCCATTGGGACTCATTGTGTGCACGAAGGTGTGTATCCTAGGTATTGTTCATTTATAGAAGATCAAAAGGATTGGCCCAAGAGACAATCACGTTCGTACACACATCCTTCTCAGTTTACAATCGAAGCGTTATATCTAAAGAGCATTGGGCCCTCTATAGTACCTTCAGTATAATTTTATTGTTATTCTCCACCTCCAGGACGCTCGTCGTGGGTACCGGAGGCGGAGGTCGATATTTTGGCAACGGTGCAACTGCGGGGTCCTGATAAGCTGGGGGCGGAGGGGCCGGTTTCCTGTGTCTATGGCCGCACTTCCTGCTTTCCTCAGCCGGATGATCTATATCTAAAACAGGCGCAGAGTGCGGTCTCCTTCCATACCTAACCTTTCTCTTCTCCACTCTCTGCTCCTTCTTCGACTCTGGCATAGTGGTCACGACTTTGTAGAACACCTCGTTGCTCACTTCCTGTATCTTGTCCTCGCTCTGAGGCCTCCTGTGCTTCTCCTCGTAGCACGGTGTCACGCCATTCCGCGGTGACTTGACACCTGGTCTCTCGTCTCTCCTCCTCGGCCTCTCTCTGCAGAAATCGCAGTACTCGTTCCTGTCCACGTCGTCCACTAATCTCTCTGTGCTCTTGGGTCTCCTGGGCCTCTCCGGCTCGCCGTGGGTCCGTCCACTGGTGCCATTCGTGCGATAGAAGAACGAATCCGTGGTCGTCGGCGTGTAGTTAGACCTCTGATACAGAGGGTCGGCCATCATCGAGTGGCTGCTCGGCAACCCTCCGCCGTTCATCAGGTCCTGGGCCTCCACCTTCCGCTGGTTCAGCCCTGACGAGGTCTTCCCGATCGTGTGGTACCTGCGAGATTCCAGTCCGTTCGCCTGGCTGTATTTACCAGCGGGCTGGTGAGTCTCTTTGCGCGAATTTCCTCGGTAAGTCACCCTGTCCAGAGTGGCTGTGTGAAGGGGCTGCTGTTCTGGGAGGAAGCTCTCGCCGTTCACGCTCACTTTGTTCGCTACGAAGCTATTTTGGTCGTTGGTGGCCGTACTTAGTGGTTGGCGGGCTGCTAGCCGATGACTGCGTGGCTCTAGGCGGATTCTTCTGGTGTCCAGGGAATGGTAATCTGAAAACAAACGTGTGACCATGGTTAAATAATTATAGCTGGAACAATTGAAATTACACAGTCTCGTATAGGATTTAGGTTAGGTTACTGGACAATTTTATGACAAATTCTAGAATTTTTTCAAAACTCCATGGTGACAGTAACCCCTGTCAGTAGCTAGTATCATTGTTGTCACGTAGAGTTGAAAATGAAGTGGAAGGTGTTTTATGGGGGACGCGAATCCTGTCGAGTGAGTAATTTACATAAGGCAGGAGTGGTTAAGCGAAGTGTGACCACGATGGAAAATAAAAATTTTGTAAACCCATGGCGCGTGAAAGTTGAGCGATGACTGCGAACGTAAGGGCTGTATGCACGTAGGGGTACGTTCCCTTATGGGTGAACCGTGTATGGCCAACGAGAGTTCAGAGCAGCAGTTTTTTTAGCGTAAATTCAAAGGGAGTGTACCGGGGGGAATATAAGGAACAGGGAGAGTGGTAATTATACAATGTCTGTCAAATTAAGTATACTAATAAACAAATGCTATTATATATAATACGCATATTTCACTATATATAGTGGCATACCATTCTATAGTATACTAGGTAGGAACACTCTACTGTAACATACTATAGAGTACACCGTACAGGAATATACCACACTATTGTATATTAAATAAAAATGTACCATGCTATAGTAAACTAGCTATAATACACAAAGTTTTAGTATACTATACAATAGCACATCTTGTTACACTATACCACTATATTATATTATACACAATCCAAGAAAGAAATATAAAAGAATATTTACATTTTAAAATCCTATTAAACAATTGTCAAGACGACACAACAATTATAACATAAAATAATATCCAACTTATAACATAATACCAAAATTGTTAAAAGTCATTATCATCAAGCCTTAGTCATTCGAAAGCAACAAAATCACGAAGTCACGAATCATTCTTAGCATTCACCTAACCCCGTAGAAGCTCAAATACACTCCCTACCTTCAGCAACGTTGGGGGCCTTGTTCTCGCTCCAGCAGTCTGTCATTTGACAATGGTCCATGGTTGGCAGGCACGTGGGCACCGTGAGAGTCTGCTCGCACGACTTGTTCGAAGGTCTGTACCCAGGCAGCTGTTCCCCAGGCGGCAGTTCCGGGAACATGGCCGCCAGGAGCGACGTGATGGAGGTGTTCTGAGGATCGGCCTGCTGCCTGGGCAGCACCAGCATCTGCGTGGACTTAGCGCGGGGCAGTGGGACCACGGGCGTCGAGCCGAGGGATGGGTTAGGCGCGGAGCAGGCCTGCTGGCCAGAGGGTGGGAAAAGCGTGCTACTGGACGGCGCTGTCGACCTTTGCCTTCCTCTCGAAGGAACTGTCGCTGGCGGAGTGACGTTCCTCGAAACGCCCCTCTGTCGCGGGAACAGCTGCGTGGACACCGATCGGGGAAGGGTCTTCGGCGAGGTCCTCGGCTGTGCTTGCGGTATGTCCGGGCCCAATTGGTCCAGGGACTTGCTGTGCTTGGCGGGCAGACTAGAGGGCGTGAGCGTCAGGCGACCTTGCACCGACTCCATGTCCTGCGCAGCGCCCTCGCTCCTCGGCGACCAGATACCCATGGATCGAGACTCCAGAATCGCTGCTATCCCGCAACTGCAGTCGTCTATGCAGGGTACTGAAATGGTGGATAGATTTAATTTAATTAGTAATAAAGGGAGTGGGTGGAGGTAGCTAATTTGGGGGTATTGCTAGTTTTGTATTTAACTATCTTTGATGACGCGTGATATAGCTTACTCATTTAGACATGTCGCGATTTTTCATTTGTTTGTGTCTTTAATATTTTATTCCCTATTTTTATGAGAGTTTGGGAATATTAGAGTCGATTGAAATAAAATATCTTAACATTGCGATAATAAAGTTTTAGTATACTGAATCGAAGTCCCCTTTTGTAAGACACGAGATATAATAATGTGTCAGTAGATTCGCTTTAACTTCTTTCACTCCGAGTTAAATTAGAATATTTTTGGTATGGATTGTACCAGTAGGGCGCAATGTTTGGGTCTCGATGCGTAGCCACCTCCACGCGGTGAGACCTGGTAATTGGTATCCTTTCTCAAAGAATTAATTTTGGGAAAGGATACCAAGCTGAGAGCTACGATTCGCGTTTAAAATATTTTTTATCTATTCTAAATTTTTGAAAATAAACTCAACAAGATTTACCTATTGCATATCACAGATTAAAATTCGTATTGAACAGTGTAATCAATAAAAAGATATTTTTTCGAATATTAGTAGAGTTTCGCGTTTCAAAAATTTTGCAAATTCGAGTCCACTCCTATTTCAATAAATAGAAATAGAAAATCCTATAATAATATATATATTAATAAACTCAACAAGATTTACCTATTGCATATCACAGATTAAAATTCGTACTGAACAGTGTAATCAATGAAAAAATATTTTTTCGAATATTAGTAGAGTTTCGCGTTTCAAAAATTTTGCAAATTCGAGT